AGAGAAACCCCATATATGTAATGTAACAAAGTTTTTTTAATGAAAGAGGCACTTCCAGTTAACAGTTAACATGCATAAGTATAGAGATAAAAGTTTCATGGATGTGATATATGTTACTAGCCATTTGTACAAAGGACTAAGTTAATGATACATGTTAATTCATAAAGGAAAAAAAAAACTCATACATGAAGTTTGTAAGAAGTCATTTGGTCGAAACTAAAATGAACAAAATCCATCAGAAAATTTAGACACATTTTAAGAAAAGAAAATGTTTTATTGTCTCTTAGCACTGAACATAATTACAGTCAAAAGTCGTTAATTCGAACACCCATAATCCGGACCTCAAAGCTACAAACTTTCTGCGCATTCGTCTCGTTGACGCATGCGCGTAAGACCTTTACCGCTGCGAATTTGCGCGTGCGCGTGCGCAAAATACGTTTACGAATGCGCGTTTAATGTATAACGGACGGATAAGCTAAGCTAAAATTACCTAATTATCTATTTCAGTTAATGTTGCAGATTGCGTTGTTCCTTAATCTTCGAATTGGATCCAGATTATTATTTTTTGCAGACTGTTAGAGCAATTTTATAAAAGTAAGCTTGAACTTTCGATTATGTCAAATAGAATTTCCGATATATATTTACTAATATGTAAAGGATATATACAAAGCGAAAGTATCTTTCGGAGTCCATTAAACAAAAAGTGGAATTGTTGCAAAAAATGGATAAAGGTATATCCTTTGTTTATCTAAAATTTAACGTTTGTTTAACTAAACTTTGTTTATCTTTAACGCCGCGGCGGCGTGCAATGAATTGGAAGTTGATCCGTCAGCACTATCCTTATCTTAAGAGCAGATGTTTTTATTTTATTTGGCTTATAATTGCTTACTCAATGTAGTATTTCATCTCGTCTTTGATATGATTTAAATCAAATGCCTCGTCATTATAATTCGCTTCCGATAGCGAAGAAAGTGACAGAGGTTATTGAAAACGAAAAAATTTCGATTGACAAATTAGTCGGTATTCTCGACACAGCAATTATAGGACTGGAACAGCGGAACTTTGTAACTGAACAAGAAATTATGTCTGTTTATAGAATTAAAGAGAATGTATTATCACATAAAAAACGAAGCAACTTAAACAACTTACATTGAAAGAAATGTTTAATAAAGTAAACAAATAAATATTAAGCTTTTTTTTGTAAATTTTGATACCCTTTAGATCATAATTGTTCTTTATTTCGTAAATTACGGTTTCATATTTTTAATTTTATAATTTCTGCATGCCATTTTACCAGATTTAAACTGATGATCTATAATCCGGAAAAATCGATAATCCGGAATCGCCGAAGTCACGACGAGTCCAGATTAACGACTTTTGACTGTATAGGTTAATATAATAAGAAAAGAAAATTTTTCATTGTATCTTAGTACTGAAATTAATTATAGGTTAATATAATCACACATATTGTTATGAATTTGTTCATAGATAGGTAATTTTAGTGAAGTTTTATTTTTCTGTATAATGTAACATGGAAAGCTGGAGAGAAATGATGCTCTGCTGGAAAAATAAGAATACAGGGCAAGTCTATTTAACACTGAGTAAAAGGCTACTTCGCTAATTTGGGGAGATATCATCAAGCTGGCAATGTTTTGGCGATTAATTTTTATAGTTAAATTCAAGAAATTACCAAAAGTCGCCACACTTGGCGACATTTTGGTTCAGTCCCTGTATAATTGTAATGGATATTGTAATTGATTCCTATATTAGTTATAATCATAACTGGCGTTTATATGCCTTTCAGATATTTCAAGAAACAGAAAGTACTAGAGATTTCTGGGGGAAAACCATATAAGACCAGAGAGAAGGTATCAATCTCTCAGTTGTTGTTAGCTCAGGAGTGACTTCAGATTATTGAGATATCCACGGGAACTTTGCTTTAAATGAGCTCTGCATTGCGTTGTATTTACCACTCTAAAAGTTTAAAGTGTAAATACTGATTGTACTCTATGATACTATAAAGAGCTGTATAAGTATTTCTGTGGAAAGTTCCCGAACTGTGAAGTGTTTCTTTTATAAAATAAATTTTATTAAGCTATCGTTCGTTCTGTATGCATTCAATATATTATGAACTGTACGCATGCAATACTTACCTTAATTATAGATTAATACAATCATATATATCCTAGTATAATCAAGTTTAATACAATCTTTCTGCACCTGCACTCATACAGTTATTTCGAGTGCTTAAAGTGTTAAAGTGATGGCAATTAGTGGCCAGAAAAGTGATGGCAATTAGTGGCCAGACACATAACATAAAGGCAAGCAATTGCTTGAATAGCATTGATCAAAGTACCCACAGGTTTGCTGCAGGTCATGCTAATTTCTTAACAAAGTACCTCCAGTATAAATGATTTCCTGCACTATATGATATCCTTTAATATTCCCCAAGGCGATTTTGATTCACTATCATATGTCATACATCTCATATTACAGTCATGAGAGTACTGATGTGTTGAACAAACACCTTACTATACATTGTAAAGCTAATTCTATTCAACTTTGAAACCAATATGCAGATACTATATGTTACATTGTGTATAAATTTTCTGATAGTCCCTGCATATTCATGCAGTTAAACCTTGTGAGAGTTTAATGAGTGTGTGAGCCAATAATAAACCATTTTTAAAATGTTAGTGTTTTTCAACACGTGCAGTGCTGAAAAAGTACACATCCATTCCTCTAACAGAGAAATCTTGTATTTGTAAAGAACTCATTTGCAATGAAGTCTAATTTAATAACCAACATCTGTATTCATGCAGGAGAAAATTAATCATTTACACAAAGCTTTTACTTAGACTGGCATAAGTGTCCACACAGAAGAGAAATTTTGCATGGGAGGAATGTAACTCATATAATCAATGTAATAGACATTCATGTAATAAATCAGAAGAAAAGCTATATATTTGTACAGTACAAAGTTCGAGATCCGGAATGATCTAAAATCTGGACCTCAAAGCCACCACCAACCATTTTTTTAGGGGGGGGATGGAAGGTGTTTTACGCATGCGAATTTGATTCCCCTCCCTCATAATGAAACATGCAGAGTCCTGATTCTTACTCTCACTTCAGCGCTAAATAAAATGCATCATTATTGAAGAAATAATAATTTTAGCATGAATTTATGTGATGACTCCATAGCTGCGTATCTGCTTGGCATATATCTCAAACCGAAAAATTTTACATAATTTTCATTGTGATGACAATGCCCCGATCATCAATCAATTAACAGAGGGCGAAATCTGTAGTTTGATTCTAGATCCAGAAAATAGCACTACCGCTAGTGAAGAAAGTGACAGAGAAGTGACTGAAAACGAAAAAATTTCGATTGACAAGTTAGTTGTAATTCTCGACTCAGCAATTACAGGACTTGAACAATGAAACTTAGTAATTGAACAAGAAATTATATCTGTCTATTGAATTAAAGAGAAAGTATTAACACAACAAAGCTACTTAAACAACTTATATTGAAAGAAATGTTTAATAAGGTAAATATGTAAATATTAAGCTATTTTTTTTTGTAAATTTTGATACCCTTTAGATCATTAATGCATCATTACTTCATAATTCACGATTTCATATTTTTAATTTTATAATTTCTACATGCTATTGTACTAGATTTAAACTGATGATCTAATATCCGGAATTGCAGAAGTCCCGACGAGACCAGAATTCTAGTATCCGGAATGATCCATCTGATCGCCCGTCACCTCAACAAATCGGGCAAATGACTTCTCCTGGATATAGTCCACGAAACTGTAATAACAACTGAAAATCAACACTCGTGAACAAAAATTACAATTTTTGCATTTTTTCTCCAACTCCTATATAAGTATTCATTTTTATAAAATAAAAGTGGTAGCTATTGCTTTTGTATATATTTTCTTAAACTTCGTTAATGTCATACATAAGGACTGTAAATTTAAACATTTTTGTAATGGTGAGCTTTCAAAAACGTACTGTTCCTTAACTTTTGGAGGGCAGTGTATACATAAAATATATGTGGAGAACTCTTTATTATTATTATTTGTCCGCTGCCCCGAGAGAAGGTGCTACCAGCTTTCTCCCTCTTCCTCTCTGGAGGAAAATTCGAACTGGTTACTCGGTTCCTGGCTGCCGTCGGTGAAGCACGCACTCACCTTTCTTTCCCTCCGTGATGTTATTGTAGCTGTAATATGACCTTTCTTGATTTTTACTCATGCGGACTTGTGAACTGAAACATGCTCATCTTGTAACTACATGCAATGTGATTGTGTATAAATGAATATATGTTAAAATATATATCATCCTAGAATTAAATATAAATGTTAATATTACCGAGTCAGATTTTGTTAGCATTCAACGTGCAATCAAAAATGGCATCCATTAACAACAGCCATAAATGGTGACTCGTCAAGTTAGCGAACACGTGCCTCCTGTAACCTGCTTGCACCCTCAAGTTCTGTGATTATAATGTGCTATGAAGTGAAAATTATTTTTGTTCATGCAAACTACTAGCGTAATCCATCATTATTTTCGTGTCATCAGCAATATAGTGTAAAAACAGTTGTGCCTGCTTAACAACGTGCTTGTGAATTATCATGTGTCTCATGCAAATCGTCAAAGTGCTTTGAAGTGATCTCCATATAAATCGTACAACGTGGTTACATATCATAAAATAAGTTTTTTCGGAATATTTTTTCTATAAGTGAATTGTGTTGTGCTGAATCTGCTGCTGACTGAGCAAATATTTCTCGTATAATTCGGAGGTAAGCCACGCAAATTCTTAGTATTACTTATGCTTATATTCGGATAGCTTACCTGCAAAAGTGTTTCTCTCACGTTAATGTTTACATTAACTTTATTTATTTTGCACTAGTGTCGTATGTGAACTTATTAGTGACTGATTATTGTGTATTTATTTGTGTCATATTGGCAATATATATTTGTTTTTGTGAATCATGGCTCCACCACAACCCATCGCAGACGATCTTAATATTTCACGTGTTTCCGTCAAACCTCCCCCATTTTGGAAGGTCAACCCTACTTTGTGGTTTGCACAACTAGAGGCCCAGTTTGATATCGCCGGAATCACTGTTGACTCCACGAAATTCAATCATGTGATATCTGCAATCGAATCTGATATTCTCAATAGCGTTTGTGATATCGTTTTACACCCACCTGTGACTGGCAAATATGATACACTAAAAACACGCTTAATTGAATTGCATTCTGAAAGTGAGGAGTCAAAGATACGTACACTTCTTCAAGGGCTAGAACTTGGCGATCAACGCCCATCACAATTACTTTGCCGTATGCGAAACCTCGCTGGAGAGACCGTTGGAGAACCTTTGTTGAAATCCCTATGGATATCTCGTCTCCCGCAAAATACACAAAGTATTCTTGCTGCCTTAAGTGATGATCTTCCAAAACTAGCAGTTGTAGCTGATAAAATTACAGATCTCACAACTCTCCCGCACATAAATAGTGCTGCTACGGCATCTACCTCTCCCATTGAACAGCAAGTTGCAGAGCTGACAAAGCAGGTAAATGAACTTTCGCTAGCCCTCAAAAACAGCCGTGAGCGTTCCTGTGAACGAAGAGACTATTCCAAACGCAACAGTAGGCGTAATAGATCTAGTGGACGCTATCGACAGTATAAAGAACCGTGCAACAACATCTGTTTCTGTTTCTACCATACTAATTTTGGTTCCAAGGCACGAAAATGTGTTTCTCTCCGTGCAATTTCCGGCAGTCGGAAAACTAGATCGGCGATCGCTTGCCGGCCAACGTTGCGACCGCCACATCAATCGAATTCTTTTGGCCGATTCATCCTCAAAGCTGACTTTTTTAATTGACACCGGAGCCGATTTATCTGTCATTCCCAAGAGTTACAGTCAGCATGCCAAAATACCAGCTGCATTGGAACTCTTTGCCGCTAACGGCACTAAAATTGCAACGTATGGCACCAAACTTTTGACCATCAATTTAAACTTACGTCGCTCATTTACTTGGCCTTTTATCCTGGCAGACGTCAATCAACCCATCATAGGTGTTGACTTTCTCACAAAGTTCAACTTACTCATAGACGTTAAAAACAACCGTTTAATTGATGGACAAACAAAACTATATTCTTGCGGTAGACTTCCTAATGTGAACCCGCTCAGTACTAGCATTCATATTTTGATGGGTAACTCAAAATTTGACAAAATTCTTGCCGATTACCCTAGCTTGACGAATCCTTCGCAAACTTTTGAGAGGCCACCAATGTCAACGATTTTCCATCACATTGAAACTAAAGGACCTCCTATTTTCTCCAAACCTAGAAGATTATCTCCAGAATTACTTCAAGCTGCACGTCAAGAGTTTGATTTTCTCCTATCAAAAGGCATCATTCAGCCTTCAAAAAGTCCTTGGGCAAGCCCCCTGCACATGGTTCGTAAGGCTAATGGCGACTGGCGAGGATTATCGTCGCTTAAATGCCTTTACAATTCCGAATCGCTATCCCGTACCCCATATTCAGGATTGCACTCAAATGTTTTCAGGAAAGAACATATTCTCAACATTTGATTTAGCACGTGCCTATCATCAAATTCTTGTTAACCCTGCAGACATTCCGAAAACTGCCGTCACAACCCCTTTTGGTCTTTTTGAATTTTTGGCTATGCCGTTTGGTTTACGAAATTCAGGCCAAACTTTCCAACGTTTTATACATGAAGTTTTATTTGGATTGGATTTTTGCATCCCTTATTTTGACGACATCCTTATTGCATCGACTAGCGAAGAAGAGCACATCCGTCATCATCTTCGTCAAGTGTTTGATCGTTTGAATAAACATGGTTTGACATTAAACCCTAACAAATGTGTACTCGGAAAACCATCTGTTCCAATTTTAGGTTGCCTCATTACTGCCTCAGGTGTAAAACCCCTGCTTGAGAAAACAAAAGCAATTGCCGACTTCCCAAAACCTACCACTATTGTCGAGCTCAGACGTTTTTTAGTCATGATAACTTTTATCGCCGCTTCTTACCAAAGGCAGCCAAGACCCAAGCTTCACTGACTGAATGAACTCTTAAAAGACTCACGTAAAAATGATAAACGCCCTGTTCCTTAGAACGACGAACTTAATCAGGCATTTGAAAAATGTAAACACGACCTTAGTAATGCTGCAACTCTCTCCTATCACTCTCCTAACCAAAAGCTGAGTGTTATGGTCGACGCTTCTGACATTTCCATCGGAGCTGTCTTAAACGTTCGACATTCTAATGACTACCAGCCGCTAGGATTTTTCTCACGTAAGCTGTCCCCTACAGAACAAAAATACAGCACGTATGACAGAGAATTATTAGCTATTTACGCAGCTATTTTGCTCGCAATCGATATAATGCTAAGATTTCAGCACTACTCGCGTCAATGCTGAACTTCACACTGATCACTATCATTTACTGTCTATCAACGAGTTATAATTTCTTTGAACTTGTTCATTTTATACGTATTTTGGCATCAAAAATCTCAAATTCAAAATTATCAAGTTCTGATCTTCCCAAGCTCAGAAGACATCAAGCGATTTTTTCGAGCGACAGTTTAAATTATTCATTCTCACGCTCCTAGCCGATTCATGTAGGCATAAAGCTTGCGTGCATATTTCATCACTGATATTTTGAGCAGCATATACAGAAACCAACATTTTTGCATATGCCCCATTATGTGCAATTCCAGTTTTAAAGTATATCACATTTTTAGGTATTACTGTATATACGCTTCATAAAGTTCATAGTTGTATTTATTTAGTCCTCAATTTAATATTTGTCTTATATTTATAATTAACATTATTATTGTTATAATCATTTATAATTTACTGTTTAATAATTATTTTAAAGTACGCATTATGTACTATTTATGTACTCAAATACTTTTAAGAAATTTTTAAAACGCGCGAGGCGAGCTATCTACAGCATTGCCAGAGAAGGGTGACATTTTCGGAAGAATGGCAGTGGAAAACAGCTGCCACTTTCGACTACTGTTTACTTAACTAACTTACTGCGCTAATTATAAACGAAACTGCTCATTTCGCAAGGTTAAGTATTTCAGGCATAATCTTGAAGGTCAACACTTCACTATATTTACTGATCACCGACCTCTAACTTATGCATTCACATCAAAATCAAATTCTGCTTCCCCGAGACAAATTCGGCATTTAAATTATATAGCTCAATTCAGCACTGATATTCAGCATATATCAGGTTCCAGCAATGTCGTCGCAGATACTCTCTCACGTATTCAGGGCATCGATGCCAATGCACCACTGGATTTCACGCTTATTGCTCACTCGCAAGCCACTGATGAGGAGTTAAAATGTCTGAGTGAAGACCTAAACTGCTTGCTGAAATTCCAGTCATTACAACTTACTCGGGACCTCCAACTATTGTGCGATACCTCTAACAACAACAGACTGCGACCTTATGTACCACTTGAGTTCAGGAAAAAAGTTTTTGACTGTTTTCACAACCTATCGCACCCAGGTATCCGGGCTTCCAAAAAGCTCATACAAAGAAAGATTCGTTTGGCCATCCATGCTAAAGGACATTGCCAACTGGACTCGTTCCTGCATCATGTGCCAACGTTCAAAAGTTACCCGGCACACACATAGCCCTTTGGAAAAAATTGCGATGCCATCCGAACGATTCGACCATGTCCATATAGACATCGTCGGTCCTCTGCCACCATCTGACGGTTATCGATATCTACTCACCTGCATTGACAGATTTACTCGTTGGCCTGAAGCTTTTCCCATTCAGGACATCTCTGCTGACTCTGTGGCTCGACAATTCATCACCGGTTGGATTGCACGATTTGGTGTACCATCAGTTGTGACTACTGATCAAGGTCGACAATCCCAGTCACACCTTTTCGCTTCTCTGACATCTATGCTTGGAATACGCACTTCACCATACCATCCTTCTGCCAACGGCTTAGTGGAACGCTTACATCGCGACCTGAAGTGCCGTAATGACACCCGTTGGATTACTTCACTTCCTCTTGTGCTTCTTGGTTTGCGTTCTTCTTTCAAGCAAGACCTCGCAGGTACACTGCTAAAAAAAAAAAAAATGGGACAGTCCTATATCTCCCGATCTACTGGGCCGATTGACAAAATTCAAATTGCGTTCTTCATGTCTCGAAAGCGCGACTTAGGATATGTATTAGATTTATATATAGCACTATTCTAACATAGGTATTTTGACACAAAATCGGACTTTTTCTGAAATAACATACCAATTTTTTTACATATTTCGATTCTACGACTCAAATTACGCCTAAATATGAAATTTTGTAAAATTTGGAGCGAAATTTACGGAGAAATTCACAAATTTATGTTGGCACTTTTTTGTCAGTTTGCGCCAAGAATACTTCACTTGGCGAACTTCTTAATATATGGCAACCTAGTTTCCTTAGGAAAAAAAGTCACCATCGTTCCTTTTTTCCAAATAATATTCTTTATATATATTTTTAATTATAACTTATTATTTTAAGTAATTTTTTTTTCTTTTTTTTCGAATTTTTTTAATTGTTTAAGTTGCACTTTTTTTTTTTTTTTTGAATAACTGTTTTAAAAATTTCTATTTACCTATTCGAAACTGCGTAAATAAAGGTGCAGCGTTTATTTTTTTTTTCAAATAGTTTTCTTTATATATATTTTTCGTCATAGCTATTATTTTAGGTCATTTTTAAATTTTTATACTTTTATTTTAATTGTTTGTGTTGCATTGTCTCTTCAGATAATTGTTTTAAAATTTTCTATTTATTCCTTCGAACTGAGCATTTTAAATATATTTATTAATATCAATTTTCCAGAATTGATTTTATTTATTTGAACTGCGTTTTTTTTCGGAAGAATACTTTGTAACCCAGACTACGATGCGTTTGAAAACTGCATATTATATTAAAAGAGAAAATACAGTAAAGCACAGTTTTACACGCCTTTCAATGTTCCGTTCAGAAAAATATATATAAAATAAGAGAGATGTATAACCGATATTTTAACTTAGGATGACTTGCATACACTGCTTTAAACAGTTTTATCATTGTGCCCATTGCTTTACACAATTTTATCCTACATTTGGTTTCTTAAAATGTTATTCATATTTTAGTCAAATATTTATTTTTTGAAATCGCAAGAATCAAATATCATAAGATTGAAAAGTTTTAAATTTAAAAAAATACGAAATACTAAATTTTACGAAAAAATTTATTTTTCTTCTCTTTTCTTTAAGCATTCTGAAAGTATATTGAAAAGTATCCAACTTTTCGAAACATTTTGGTATTTCTGACAATCATTTTAAATAAAGTTATCGCCTTCCATTTCATAAAGGCCCACAAACGGCCGAGCGGTAAAGTTGCTGAACACTGGTAGTTCACTCCGGGTTCGAACCCCGGTAAACGGGCTGGTTGCATGGGCGTTTTCGTGGATTTTCTCATGTGTACCGCGTATGACAGCTGGTTTCCCTTAGAAAGTTCTTCACGAAGTATTTCGTCAGAGCCTTTATCAGTCTTTAGAGGCTAAACATTTTGAAGGTATGAGATGAAAGGAAAGACTGGTTTCATCAAAAGGTTTTGGTTTATTTTATTATGACAAAGCACACTACGGCTATCTGCCTAAGGGGAGGGATGCCTTCGTGGAGGACTTTCTAAGGGAAACTGGCTCGCATACACGTTACACATGGGGAAAACCACGAAAACGCCCATGCAGCCAGCCCGTTCGCGGGATTCGAACCTCGGACCGAACTACCAGTGTTCAGCGACTTTACCGCTCGGCCGCTGTTTCATCAGGAAGGGAAAAAAATCTTTAAGGTGACATCCA